AGGATAGGGGTTAAATATAATGTTCCCATGCATCACTCCAAAAGCATCAAGCAGCTTGAAGCAGTCTCGCTACCAGGTGAATGGTCTGTATCAAGGCATGAAAACGGCAGAAACTGGTCCCTGAAACTCAATATTTAATCTTAAACGTACCCAATTGATAGAGATCTGCAGGTGGGAAGGAAGCGGACCCATTTGCCCGACAGCAGAATAAATGAGGAAAGATGCTTTTCTCCAAGTCAGAACGGCAGAAACAAAAAGGGTCGTTGCACAAAGATGGGGAAGAGGCACACTTCAAAACTGAAGACGGGAAAGCTCTAGAGCATTTCATTACAGCCTACCTACCTTCTCAGGCACCTGAAGGATTGGAAGGAGAGTGCAAAAGGCAAACCAGCTGACACTGCCCCTTAGCAAGCCATGATTCTGTGCAATTTACGTTGCTGCTTGCTCCCCCTCCCCAACACACACAAAGAACTGTGTGAAATATTTAGAAGAGGAGATTTCCACATATGCTATGAAATATCTGGGGCGGGGGATGCGCTACAAGATGGCCTTCCAGTTAGTCTATCATTTCCTTTACCAATTAACTCTGACTAATGAGAAGAGGCTGAAGAAGAAGGAAACAAAATGGCATTTTATAGAGACTGGAGCATATAAATCATATCTTAGTCTTGCTTAATGAGTCATAAGTGGCATTGTTTGTAATTCTGTGATGGACAAATATTTAACTATGCAGAAGGAAACAAAATGGCATTTTATAGAGACTGGAGCATATAAATCATATCTTAGTCTTGCTTAATGAGTCATAAGTGGCATTGTTTGTAATTCTATGATGGACAAATATTTAACTATGCATAAGAATTAAGTACTGGTATGGTAGTAATAGTAATAATTTTATTGATTAGCCCTTAGGCCATATCATAATACCAAACCAAACAGCAAGGCTTGATAAGACTTGATTGCAGTAAGTTAAAATAAGATGGCAAAAAAAGACAATGGGATCAAGAGGAGCATAGTGTCTAGATCTAGGGAAGTAATGCTACCCCTCTATTCAAAAACAATACATTTGAGAACCACATATGTGGGGCTGATCAGGGTAAATTGTAGGGGTGATAAGGAAATATGATGTATATACCCAGTTTCTAGTCAAAGCCATGGTATTCCCTGTAGTCACCTACGGATGTGAGAGCTGGACCTTAGGGAAGGCTGAGCGAAGGAAGATCGATGCTTTTGAACTGTGGTGTTGGAGGAAAGTTCTGAGAGTGCCTTGGACTGCGAGAAGATCCAACCAGTCCATCCTCCAGGAAATAAAGCCCGACTGCTCATTGGAGGGAAGGATACTACAGACAAAGTTGAAGTACTTTGGCCACATCATGAGGAGACAGCAAAGCCTAGAGAAGACAATTATGCTGGGGAAAGTAGAAGGAAAAAGAAGAGGGGCCGACCAAGGGCAAGATGGATGGATGGCATCCTTGAAGTGACTGGACTGACCTTGAAGGAGCTGGGGGTGGTGACGGCCGACAGGGAGCTCTGGCTGTGCTGGTCCATGAGGTCAGAAAGAGTCAGAAACGACTGAACGAATGAACAACAACAACACCCACCCACCTCTATATTTTTATTCATGAATCCAGTCATCATAGAATCATAGAATCAAAGAGTTGGAAGAGACCTCATGGGCCATCCAGTCCAACCCCCTGACAAGAAGCAGGAATATTGCATTCAAAACACCCCTGACAGATGGCCATCCAGCCTCTGTTTAAAAGCTTCCAAAGAAGGAGCCTCCACCACACTCCTGGGGTAGAGAGTTCCACTACTGAACAGCTCTCAGACTCAGGAAGTTCTTCCTAATGTTCAGATGGAATCTCCTTTCCCATAGTTTGAAGCCATTGTTCAGCATCCTAGTCTCCAGGGCAGCAGAAAACAAGCTTGCTCCCTCCTCCCTATGACTTCCCCTCACATATTTATACATGACCATCATGTCTCCTCTCAGCCTTCTCTTCTTCAGGCTAAACATGCCCAGCTCTTTAAGCCGCTCCTCTTAGGGCTTGTTCTCCAGACCCTTGATCATTTTAGTCGCCCTCCTCTGGACACATTCCAGCTTGTCAATATCTCTCTTCAATTGTGGTGCCCAGAATTGGACATAGTATTCCAGGTGTGGTCAAATCAAAGCAGAATAGAGGGGTAGCATGACTTCCCTGGAGCTAGACACTATACTCTTACTTATGCAGGCCAAAATCCCATGTAGCTGCACCATCACATTGTTGGCTCATGTTTAACTTGTTGTCCACAAGGACTCCAAGATCTTTTTCACATGCATTGCTCTTGAGCCAGACATCCACCATTCTGTATCTTTGCATTTCATTTTTTCTGCCAAAGTGGAGTATCTTGCATTTGTCCCGTTGAACTTCATTTTGTTAGTTTTGGCCCATCTCTCTAATCTGTCAAGATCGTTTTGAATCCTGCTCCTGTCCTCTGGAGTATTGGCTATCCCTCCCAATCTGGTGTCGTCTGCAAACTTGATGATCATGCCTTCTAGCCCTTCATCTAAGTCATTAATAAATGACATACTGTAATAAATAAATGCATCCATTTGCTTTCTTAGTTCATTTGGAGCATTTACTCATCACTCTGAGGGTTACAAAGCAGCCAGGGGGAACAAGTCTACATAGGGACCACCAAACGCAGCATTGCCCAAACACGAATCAAGGAACATGAAAGGCACTGCAGACTACTTCAACCAGAGAAGTCAGCCATAGCAGAGCACCTGATGAACCAACCTGGACACAGCATATTATTTGAGAACACAGAAATGCTGGAACACACCAACAACCAGACTACACAGAGAAGCCATTGAAATACACAAGCATGTGGACAATTTCAACAGAAAAGAAGAAACAATGAAAATGAACAAAATCTGACTACAGTAAATAAAGAACAAAAACTCAAACAGTGGGGAACTCCAGGCAAAAAACAACCAGGAACAGCTACAACAAAGGATTTCCTCAGGCAGTAACAAGCCACACCTAAAAACTGTCAGGCCATCAAATGCTAATCAAAGTGGCCAATTGAAACATTCACACCTACCTCCAACAGACAAGAGTTCTTTCCCCCACCCTAGACATTATTCCACAGATATATAAACCCAATTTTCCTTGTTTACAACAGACCTCACAACCTCTGAGGATGTCTCCCATAGATGCAGGTGAAATGTCAGGAGAGAATGCTTCTAGAATATGACCATAGCCTGAAAAACCTACAATAACCCAGTGATTCCAGCCATGAACGCCTTCAACAATATATCTAGGAAAGCCATTAATGCCAGAATTAATGCCTGCCTTAAAGTACAACTTCTCTGAAAGGACCAAATTTGGTATTACTTTTGGAGTGGACACTCCAACAGGGAATGGCCGCTCTGCGATGATCCCTAATTGGATGGAACTGTCTAGAGATATTCTTTGTGCGCTCTCTCAAAGAACAGAGAGAAGACATTTCTTTGCGTATTCTGTACTGCAGCGCAATTTAAATTAAATTAGCACTTTGAACTTAATCTCAGAAATAAACAGATAAGCCAAGATACTTCTTATACAAAAGCAGTAACCTTGTTCAAGTAAGAATTATGGCAACAACTGTGATGAATTTTGATTTGAATAAGAAAAAAACACTGATCATACATGGCAGTGCCCACACATCTTAGAGAAGGAAGCTGATATTAGTAAATAGAACACACAATTCTTGTTTCCCTACTAATCATTAATCTTACTATCTCTAGGGGGAAAAACAGTATAGAACCTGTTCCAGCTTGAGGGTTGCATTCAATTTTTGCTAAGTTATCAGGGGTGAAAGAAAGTAAGAAAGTTCTTACTGTCTTAAGTGTCCAGAAAGACATACAAGCCTTTCAGAATGAAGAAATAGTTGCATAGAGGCTGGGAAACAACCAATGAATCAGACCTCATAACTTCTGAGTTAAACGTCAGGAGAGAATGCTTCTAGATAGAACATGGCCAGACAGCCCGAAAAACCTACAACAACCCTGTGATTCAAGCCATGAAAGCCTTCGACAACCAATGAATGATTCCATGGAAGAGAGGCCATTGCCACCCAGGAAAGTAAAGACCATATTGGACTTCCAACGGGCCAGACTTAACCAAAGAGCTCTTTCAAAGCAACCTAATTGTTGCATCCCAGATCAGGAAACAAGACCATAAGATTAAATCCACCACACTGGACTGTGGGAAAAAACAATCCTTTTTATTGATGAAAAATGGTTACAAAATAAAGGTAAATGCAAAGTCAAAAAAACCATAGTAGAAACTCAGCAGTCATGAAAATCTCTGAACTAGAGCAAAATTCCAAAAGCCACAATACAAAAACCTGGAACCTGTTAGCATCTCACCAACCGTACTTGAAAACCAGAAGCCTCTGGGAATGCAGGCCATGGAACATGGGAAATCTGCCAACGTTTTGCCTCAGTCTAAACATAGCTTGGTCTAACGAGACAGCCCGGAGAGAGCCCCCTTAAACCAAAGAAACTGTTTCTTGACACGCCTCCAGACTTTGAAGCCTGAGCCTCCCTTTCCCTTAATCTACTTGACCTTCGCAGACCCTGGGATTCACTCCTGTTTTTCCAAATCTGTTCTCGTCGATCCTCATTAAAAAAAACCCAGGTGTGAGTTCCTCTGGAGAGCTATCACTGCTTGGTTCCAAAACATTCTCATCAGGAAATTCAGTTTCACTTTCCCCACCACTGGCCTCATAATCAACAGTTTCAACACCAACAGGGAAAGATACATGTTCAGAGGCCTGTTCAGTTGCATCAGGAAATACAATTAGAGAATCAGGTTCAGGTTCACACAGAGATTGAGGCTCAGGTTCACACGAAGGCTGAACCCCAACACTAATGGTCATGCGACATGACTTTGTAATCAAAGCTAACCACAACATAATTCTTCAGACTTGATGGAACAAAATGTGACAACAAACATATAGAAAAACCTTTTCCATACCTGGCCTTCTACTATCCATTTGGAGATGGACGTTTTCCCATCGTACCCAGGCCGGAACTGAAGCGTGGCAGAGCGAGGGCTGATGTTTGAAATCACTAAGTTGGATGGCGCACCAGGAAGCTCTGCGTAAGGCAACACAGGAGGTAAAAAGAGAGAAGGATACAGACTCAGTGTGTACATACACAGCTCAATATTTCTACAGTTATTGACTTTTTTGTGGGTGATAGAACTGAACATAAACATTGCACCAAAGATCTGTCTGGCGCCCAACATACTCCTTCCTCCCAGTGGGCAATGAGCAGCTTCCGGCAAAGGCAGTCGGTAAAGGAAGACAACCTCTTTCTTGTGCTGTTGGTCCCTGGCTGATGGCCCTCCAAGTATCCTGATTCCAAACCAGGAGGCTGCGTATCAAAGCTGGAGGCAGCCCAGGCATTCTCCTAAGGAAACATGCCTTTTCAGAAGTACTGAAAGACGTTTAGTTGTGAATTGTCTCTTTCAATACTTGCATAAGCCTCAAAATTGGTAAGCCTATGGTTCTCAATTAAAGGTTCAAAGAGGATAATAGGCAGAACAAAGCAAATATTGCGTTTATAATGCTTGCTCTTTGTATGTGGAAAAAATGGCACAAAGGCTCCACATGGGTGATTAAGAGGACATGGAAGGAGTAAGTTTGGGGGAGAGCGCCTTCTTTTGCCGATTCCCTGACCTCAGCTGCTATTCGCTCCCCCTCCCTCACTGCAACTTTTGTGCTCTGAGTGATAACACTAAGAATAGGAAACGAAGAGCAAGCAGTATGCCAACCCATTCCCCTCTCTTCAATCCATCCATCGTGCTGGAGTCCAAATTCCTAGCCCCTCTTCCTCCTCTTGAGACATTCATGCAGATGTAGACATGGGCACAGATGGCCGTTAACTACGTGGCATTAATCGAACTGGATTGCTGTAATTGAATGGGAACATCTACTCGTTTTACCATTAACCTCAAAGGGCCCCATCATCTGACACTGGGATGGCATCCCAACCAAGTTTTCCTGGAGTCACTGGGAAACAATACACAACTTTGTTATTTCTGCCTTTCTCTTTTTGCAGCTTCTGTGACCCTGAACAGTTCCTTGGTTTTACCAAAGAAAGGGCTAATTAGATATATTACACTGATATTCTAAACTCTGTTGTATTCACCTGGAGGCACTCCTGATGAAATTGTCGACGATGTGATGGAGCCTGTTCCCTTGGCTGTCATTGCTGCTACCTCTATTGTGTAAGTGGTAAGCGACGACAGGCCTGTAATTTTGTACTCAAGGGTTGTGTTCGCAAGAGTGTGAGCAAGACGGGATTCATTCCTGCTATACACCTCCCAGGAGATTTGATAGCCTGGAAGGAGGAAGAAAAGGACAAAGCATTCAAGATGATATTATCAGAGGTGTCTTCAAAAGACGTGTCTCTAAATATAGCTCACTAACACGGACCTAGAGGCTCCTCTCCTGCTTTTAGAGGGTTTCAAGAAATAATAATAAATAATAATAGCACTTTGGGTATCAGCCAGCACGCCAACGACTTAAATCTAGACATAGTTATCTAAGATCTACAGAGACACTCGCTGGAACACCTCAGCAAGCGAGAGTCCAAAAGTGGCAGGCTCAAACCCAGCACCTCAACCAATGGCTGATACCAAAAGAGAGACTCCCTCCTGGGCACACAGAAGACTGGGCAACTTGGAAGGCACTGAACAGACTGCGCTCTGGCACCACGAGATGCAGAGCCAACCTTCAGAAATGAGGCTACAAAGTGGAATCCTCGACATGCGAGTGTGGAGAAGAGCAAACCACTGACCACCTGCTGCAATGCAACCTGAGCCCTGCCACATGCACAATGGAGGACTTCCTTGCAACAACACCAGAGACACTCCAAGTGGCCAGATACTGGTCAAAGGACATTTAATCAACTTACAAATTCTGTATTTTGTCTGTTTGTTTGCTTTGTTCTGTTAGAAATGTAATATAATTGACTGGTTGCCCTGACACGAGAAATAAATAAACATTGTACCCCGCTACCATCTCCCCAAGGGACTCGGTGCGGCTTACATGAGGCCGAGCCCAAATACAACAATACAGACAATAAACAACAATGCAAGCAATTAAAATAAAAAACATAAGCAATAAAATATACAACATTATCAATAAGACAACACACAATTAAAAACAGTGGGAAGGCCAAATGTAAAGTTAAAATTGGAAATAATGCTGGGACATGGACAAAAAGGTGATACTGGTGTTTGTGGAAGGGCATACGAGCAGACCTAAAGAAATGTAAAGTGCTTTGGAGGACCATTATGGCTGGAATCACTAGGTTCTTGTGGGTTTTTTCGGACTATAGAGCCATGTTCTAGAGGCATTTCTCCTGACGTTTCGCCTGCATCTATGGCAAGCATCCTCAGAGGTAGTGAGGTCTGTTGGAATTAGGACAATGGGTTATTATATATCTGTGGAATGGCTGGGGTGGGGCAAGGAGCTCTTCTCTGCTGGAGCTAGGTGTGAATGTTTCAACTGACCACCTTCATTAGCATTTGAAAGCCTGGCTGAGCCTGGGAAAATCTTTTGTTGAGAGGTGTTAAGATGTGCCTGGTATTTTCCTCTCTGCTGTTTTGCTGTTATAATTTTAGAGTTTTTTAATACTGGTAGCCAGATTTTGTTCATTTTCATGGTTTTCTCCTTTCTGTTGACAGATTTTGTTCATTTTCATGGTCTTTTCCTTTCTGTTGAAATTGTCCACATGCTTGTGGATTTCAATGGCTTCTCTGTGTAGTCTGACATGGTGGTTGTGAGAGTGGTCCAGCATTTCTGTGTTCTCCAATAATATGCTGTGTCCAGGTTGGTTCATCAGGTGCTCTGCTATGGCTGACTTCTCTGGTTGAAGTAGTCTGCAGTGCCTTTCATGTTCCTTGATTCATTATTGGGCAATGCTCCTGCTGGAAGGGCATACGAGCAGACCTAAAGAAATGAAAGTGCTTTGGAGGACAAAGTGCTATGGGATCATTATTCTGGGAAGGCACACTGGAACAACCACGTCTTCAAGCTCCTCCTAAAGACTGCCAAGGTTGGGGCCTGTCTGATGTCTTTAGGGAGTGAGTTCCAGAGTCGAGGGCCACCACCGAAAAGGCCCTCTCTCTCGTCCCCACCAATCCCGCTTGAGATGCAGGTGGGAGCGCGAGTAGGGCCTCTTCAGATGATCGAAGAGATCGTGTCGGTTCGTATACAGAGATGTGGTCATGAAGGTAGGCGGGTCCCAAACCGTTCAGGGCTTTGTAGGTAAGAACCTGCACCTTGAATTGGGTCTGGAAAATGAATGGCAGCCAGTGGAGCTCCTTGAACAGGAGGGTTGACCGCTCCCTGTAAGGAGCCCCGGTTAACAACCTGGCTGCCGCCCATTGGATCATCTGAAATTTCTAACCTGCACCTTGAATTGGGTCCGGTAAATGAATGGCAGCCAGTGGAGCTCCTTGAACATTTCGGGCTTTATAGATCATGACCTATACCTTGAATTTGGCCAGTAACTTATCGGCAGCCAATGAAGCTGTTTCGATACCACCTTAATCTTTCTCCGGAGCAGAAGAGCTCCCTGATTGCTTGGGTGGTCCTTTTTGGCACCTCTTTTCAACAGGCCCTGTGCTTTCAAGCAAACTTTTCCAACCAGCTCTATGGAGACTGTCACAAGAAAGGTTCGCAAATGTGCTTCAGAGTCAATCAAATTGTCACTGGGGGCTCAGAGGAGAGAGAGAGAGAAAAAAAAGAACAAGTAAAATCAAAAGCCAAATTGAAAAAAAAATCAGGTTATAGAAACTCAAGGGAAGTGCATGGAAGGCAGATGATGGAGAGGGGAGAAGAGCAAAGGCACAAAGGGCTAAACAGGCAGAGAGCGAGAGAAAAGTGTGGCGGAGGGTCAGCTGTTGTACAGATCAGGACAATGGAAGGGCTGTTCATGGCTTGAAAAGCGAGATGAAACACTTCACCGTGCTTAAAAGTCTGTGCACAGGTGGGTGGCTGCACAGAATGGAAATCCCCACAAGCGCCACAATTATTTAAACTTTCCCAGCATGTTCCTCTGAGTTGATTACCATCTCATTTGTACCTTTCTTCCTTCAGTTCCTGTTTGTGATGGCAACTTTTGCCCACTATAGAGGCATATCTTGTATAATCAGATAGAGACTTTTCATCCCAGCTTGTTAAACCATTTTCCAACAAAATTACATACCTACCATCCTTTTTTATAAAATTCCACATTTTGGCTTTATTATGTTTTCAGTCTTTATGCTGTGGAGTCTCACCCAGCATTTGCGGGTGGATTTATTGCCCGCTGTGTTGGACAATAGACAATTTAACTGATAAATGAAAGGAAATGGTAAGGACCCCCTCATCATTTTCCCCCTCAGCATACATTTATTCCTGTATTTAAATAATTTTTGTGCTGCTTTTCAGAGCAAAGCCTTCAGAAAGCTTGATTCATATATTATATTACTGATATTGTGGTTATGCTTTGGTAATTAATTTATTCCAGTAGATCAGATGGGGTTTTTTGATGTCCTTTGTTCAGCTAGTGAGAAAGAAATGTCAATGTTCACTGGTTTAACTTTCACATGAGATGAAAAAAGTCAAAAAAATTCTCTCCACTTATTGGTTGAAGTTATATGTACCTTTGTACATTTTAGAAAAACTTGGCACAGACATTTCTCAAAGTTTTTGCAGGGAAAGGATTTGTCAAGGGCCAAGAGGCAGTACAGAAGTGAAGACCCAATTAATTTGAGTCCTAATTCAAGATAGCATAGGTGAAGAGAAATAGAAGGGAACTTATTTATTGGATACAAGAGTATTTTCAGTCAACTGCTCCCACAAACTGCAGTCACTCTGGAACTCTTTGCAGGCACTTGAGCACATGCCCGGCTATTGTCAGTTTTACCATTGTTTCCCCCTCCAATCTAGATGACACTACAACCTTACCACAGCACATGGTTATATCTTGTCTTAGCAGACAGGTTCCTTTAATAAATTACACAGAGCCTTCAGCAAACAGCATCACAGCATAAGGAGAGAGAATACACTGTACATGACTTCCTTATATACAATTCTGTACATTTACACATAGCAATCACTTTTTTTATTAAGTTTTTATAAGTTTTCTTAATACATTGAAAGAGTGGGAACAATAGATTGGATAGAAAGGGTGGGAAAAAAAGGATCTGGATAGTGATATTGGGGTGTGTGAGGCGAAGGGGGGGAAGGAGAGGGGCTGGGGCTGGGGGGTGGGGGAGGGAAGAAGAGAGGGTGTGGGTCATCGGACTCCCGTTCAGTCTACAGGGAAAATATCATCTTGTCCATAAGTTTTCTTTCTTCTTCTATATTCCTTGATCTACTTTTACTGTAGCACCTTATATATCTAATTTGATTTGCTTCTTAAGGTATTCTTCTAGATCTTTCCAGTTTGTTTGCTTATTATTGTTTGCTTAGCAAACATAGCATAGCAATCACTGATTGGTTCCCAACTCATTGACTTAACTCAAACCCAGGATTGCATCATTAACACTCATTTGGACCAGGCCAGAACACATTCCCCAAATGATTCCCTATATACAGTTAATGCATGACTCAGCATTTCCAATAGAAGCCTATTAGCAGTGCATGACTCAGCTATATTACATTACAATACATTGTAAAACCTGACAGAGGGGATATTTTCGAAGGATTAGATGCACAGAGATTCTTATGAGAAGGAAAGGCCTGGTAGAGTTTTCTGCAGCAAGGGTAGATGTTGAGGCTCAGCGTCACAGCAGCGTATCTATTACCAGTTGCAGGAGAAGGAGGAGTGATGCTGAGTCAGACCTGGATCAGCGTCAGCTGAAGCACATTCGTGATATCATTTTGGCCCCGAGCGATTCAGAGGACTTTGCAGGGTTCGGCCCTGAGGACTTAGTAGAGTCAGATTACCGGGGAGTAAAGCAGGTTGCCAGTGAGTCTGACAGTGATAATGATACCCTGCGTAAGAGACTTAAAGATACAGCTGACAATTCCAATTCAGGGGAATTGGAAGCCAGTGAGGATGAAATGGAGGAGGAACTGGATTGGACTCTTGTTAAGAACATTAGGGACATATGCACCCAAGCTACATCCAGCGATGAGTTCGAAGGGTTCCAAGATACTTGGAAGGAAGGTTCATCTTGGCAGGATCAGGAATTGGATCAACGATGGCAGCGTTGGCATGGCCAAGAGGCAGCAGCTGAGGGAAATGATTCAGATGCTAGTAATGAAGATCAATCAAGTGATGGTGACTGTGAATAAATTGAGCACGCTGGGATGTGTAAGTTTGCAGAAGACAAAGTGTTG